ATACATACTTATCACCCTGCACAAATCTCAACTCAAAATGAATCAAATATCTCAGTATAAAACCAGATATACTAACCCTGATAGAAGAGAGAGTGGGTAACAGCCTTCAATTCATGGACGGATGAGAAGACTTTCTGAACCAAACACCAGTAGCACAGGCACTAAGATCAGCAATTAATAAATGGGATCTCATGAAACTGAGAAGCTTCTGCATGGCTAAAGACACCACCATTTGGACAAAGAGGCAGCCTACCAAATGGGAAAATATTTTTATCAGCTCCACATCGGACAGAGGATTAATATCCAAAATACATAAAGAACTCAAGAAACTAGTTATCAAAAGAAAAATAATAATAATAACAATAATAATAATAATAATCCAATCTTTAAAATGGAGTATAAAATCTAAACAGTGAATTCTCTCTCAACAGAGGAAAATCAGATAGCTGAGTCACACTTGTCATCAGGGAAACCCACGACAAAATGGCTCTGAGATTCCATCCTACACCTGACAGAATGGCTATGATCAAAAATTTAAGCGACAGCTCGTGCTGGTGAGGCTGTGGAGCAAGGGGAACACTCCTCCGTTGCTGGTGGGAGTGCAAACTTGTGCAGCCAGCATGAAAACCGTCAGTGCGGTGGTTCTTCGGATCCAGCCATACCAGTAACTCTTGGGCATACACCTAAAAGTCGCTTCATCTTACTATGAGAACGCCTGCTCAGCCATGTTCATCGCTGCTCTATTCATAATATCAAGAAGTGGGAAGTAGATACCCGTCAACAGAAGAATGTGGCACATTTACAACTGGAGTGTTCTAAAACATGGCACCATGGAATTTGCAGGCAAACAGATGAAACTAGAGAAAAAATATCATTCTGAGTGAGGTATCCCAGACCCTGAAAGATAAATACAGTATGCATTCACTTATATTTGCTATTGGCTGTTAAACAAATGATAACCAAGCTACAATCCATAGACGAAGGTTTGGTAAGGAGGAAGGGACTAGGAAGGATACATGGATCGCCCTGGGAGGGGGAAAATAGAACATATTTTATGAGTATATGGGGGACAGGCAGTTAGTGAATGGGAGGAATGTTATAAGCAGTTTTCCTGCCAGCCTGGTCCCACAGCAGCGTCATCCCCTAAATAACACACAGAGACACTGAATTACATATAAAGCTGTTTGCCTGTAACTAGCGTTTTTTATTGGCTAACTATGTCTTAAGTATTAACCCATTTCTATTAATCTAAGTGTTTCCACGTGGTCTTATCTTACCAGAGAGAGGGTCCAGACCCTTACCTCAAGTCTCCTTTCCTTAAATCTCCTCTACTACATCACCCAGAATCCTCCTTGTCTCTTAGTCCTGCCTATCTTGCTTTCCTATGTGCCAACAGTGCTTTATTAATTAACCAATAAGAGAAACATATTTACAGATTGCCACCTGCCATCAGGGGAATAAAACAGGAAGGGGCAGGGAGATTGGGTTGAGGGAATGTGTAGAAAGACAGATAAAATTGGAGGACATCTGGGGAGGGGTATGAAAACTCCCTAAAACAAATGAACACAATCCAAATGAAGTCTCCAAATAATGAGGGAACCCTAGTCCCAGTTGACCATCTCTTGTTACCAAACATACCTTCCAGTACCAGGACTGTGTTACTCCAATTGAGTTATTGGCAAAAGAGGTCCCATAGAAATCCCCAATCAACCCAGGCTATTGCCAAGAGAATAGATTGCTCTCCACAAAATGACAGCAAAACCCCATTGCTTAGACAAAACCCATGAAACACATTTAACATGGAGATGTTGACCTAGCGTCTACATAGAAACTTCACCCCAATGCTGCCTGCAAAATATGGCTAGGGCAATGACGGCACAAAGTTTGATCAATGTCTGATTTGACGTAAGGTCCATTCTGCAAGATGCAACCCAGACCTAAGAATCAGAGACGAGATAGCCCAGAGACCTATGGTAAAATCAGACACTATTGACTTAAAAAAAAAAGTAACAATTAAATGACTCTTAAGGATATTCTGCTATATTCATAGATCAGTGTCTCATTCAGCTGTCATCAGAGAAGCTCCCTACTGCACATGATGGGAACAAATACAGAGACTCATAGCCAGACATTACACATGGAGAGAAATCTTGGAGCACACAGCTCTGAACGGGATGTCTCCATCAAATCCCTCTGCTCAGAGCTCAGGGAGCCCTGAGGGAGAGGAAAGTATGTAGAAGCCAGAGGGGATGGAGAAGCAAGGCCCTCTGAATCAACTGAGCTAAGCTCTCATGAACTCATCATAAAGACTGAAGCAGCGAGCTTGGGACCTACCCAGGTTTGCGCTAGCTCCTCTGAATGTTTATTATAGCTCTCAGATTAGTATTTTTTCCCCAGGATTCCACAGAGTGTGATTCTTGTACCTGTGCCTCTCTGAGAAGAGACAGTAAAGGAGTGAATCCGGGTGCAAGGGGAAGACAGAATTGAGAGAAGCAGAGGTGTTAGGTCTGAGGAAAATCATTTCCTCGACTGTTTAATTAAACCAAGCTGTATTTACAAGTGTACATGTGACCAGCCAGAGGACTGCCTCTCCCTCAGCTGGGGTTTCAGGGAACAGCCCCTCAGTGGCTTTTGAGGTCCCTTTTATAGGGAAGGGTTAGAGTTGATAGAAAACACCTGTTGAGATCATTGGCAGTTAGCACCTGAACTGAAGAGTGGGGGACTCGGGGCTCGGGGTTGGCTGACGAGAAGAAAAGTGCGAGAATCATCGTGTGGAAGCAGAGTCGTCGCAGAAGTTCATGGGTCTAGCAAGGCAAAGGGTTACAAGTTCAGCGTAGGTTGAAAAACATGGCTTACAGGATTCGTTGGGCTTAGTAAATTGTGGAGACAATAACTATTTATAGTAAAGTGACTCCTTAACAACAATTTGGCTCCTGTTTTGGTTTCACGGAGGAAAAGGAAACTGCAATCAAGGTGTATTGCATTAGGAAAGAATCTATTATTAACAAAAGGAGAAAAGTTAAAAACATAAAACTATGGAAAGCTAAATTAAGTAAATATACAACTAAAGAATCATGGGTATTTTACTTAGAGTTACTATTGCTGCGATGAAACTCCATTGCCAAAATAGCAAGGTGGCGAGGAAAGGATTTATTTGGATTACACTTCCACATTGGGTCGCTGGGCAGGAACCTGGAGGCAGGAGCTGATGCAGAGCCCATGGAAGGATGCTACTTACTGGCTTGCTCCTTGTGGAACCCAGCACCACCAGCCCAGGGATGGCACCAACCCACAGTAGGCTGGCCCTCCCCCCATGTGTCACCAAGCAAGAAATTGTCCTCCAGGCTTACCTGTGGCTTGGTCTTATGGAGGCATTTTCTCAATTGAGGCTCCCTCCTTCCAGATGCCTCTAGGATCTAGACTGTGTTGAGTTAACATAAAACTATACAGCACATGGGTATTAAAGAAGGTAAGTAATTCCTTTCTAAAGGCATAGAAGACATTTTTTCAATGAAGCCATGTGTTCCAAGAGGTCTTTCCCTGGGTCCGTATAAGCAATGCCTGCCTGTTCTACCATTCCACTGAAGTCTGTTTTGGAAAACCAATGAGCTTACTGGCCTCACTTACAGAATGTGTGTGAGGGGTACATACAGTGAACTGACTGTGTCTAGACAAGCAGGGCCAGCTACCAGCTACAGAAGACTTGGCCTTAGTGTCTGTTGCTACCTGTGACTCTCCGTGAGCTCTAAATGTGCCTCTTATTGAAAATGAGCCATAGACATTGGTTTCTTGCAATCCCTCCTCTTTTCCCTTTATTCTCATCTGGTTCTATTTAATTTTTAAAGAACTGCTATAGCATTCATTGTCTGTCTTCATCACAGAACAGATAGTCTGTTCTAATAGCTAAAATATTGTTTTGTTGATGTGCCGTGGGCACTTACTTAATTATTGTTTCAATGATATTTTTTCTTTTGGTTTTGCTGCTTTATACAAGAAATAATGCAGCAGTCTACCGCATTTAATATTTCCATTAGAAATATGAAAGAATTTTAGGACCAAAGGCAATGAGCCCTTTCTATGTTCTAAACCATTCTCATAGTCTACAAATCGATCATCAATTGCTAAGCATATTGGCAACACAAAAATTTGTGTGTGTGTGTGTGTGTGTGTGTGTGTGTGTGTGTGTGTGTGTGTGTGTTGGCAAGTGTCATTAATCTTGAAGGACCCTGATAATTTTCCCATTAGGAAGCTGTATTATATGAAATAAAATGCAGCATCTTCAAGCAAGCGTGACACAAACATTCCCTTTTCTGCTAGCGTCATGTTAGGTGCGATCCTGTTCTCCTTGGCTATTTGCGGCACCCAAGTGATACTTCTTAAAACTGATGTTACTAGGGAAAGACGGGGTCTCCTCCTAAGCTGATTATGCGGGAAGGGTCGGTCCTCACTTACCTCTGAGCCAGTTAATGCCTGTTTAGCGCCTGGATAAGAAGCAGCTCTTTTAATTTCTTAAAGTGTAAAAGGGCACCGGAACGTTTTAAATCGACCCTCCCCTTCTCATTTGTTTGTATTGGACATCGCTGACTTGGGCATGGCTCCATCAGGACAGAGTCCAAACAAGTTCTAGGGGATGAAAAAATAACTGCCGCTATGCTCTCTGAGCTGCAGATCGTGTGTGCATACATGTACAACCGCTGACTCGCTGACACCATCACGCAGAAGGGAAAAGCCACAGTTCCCCTGGGGACTACGTCCTCACGAAGCCCTCCTCTGCTCTGAAGCGGGTCCAGCATGGAACTGTCATTCGAACCTCATTCGGACCTGGGTGCTTTCTGACGTCATTGGCGCTGTCTGGTGTCAATCATAGCCTGTGGGCGGTCGCTGTAGTCGAAGCAGCGTTGGTTGAGAAACTGCCAATCAAGCTCCCGGGAGCGGAGGGGCTGGCCTTGCCGGTCTCGCGAGCCTATACCCTGTCTCGGGCCTTTGTGTTTAAACTGTCTCAGGGTGGTCCTGATGAGATCGCTGTTGCTGGGCGAGCTGCGGGGGCTGGAGATGCTCGTGGACCATGGAGACGGTGAGCGATGGCCCCGAGGCTGCGCGGAGGGTTAGGTAGGAGGGATGCTGCGCTCCCGGGGGCTAGGGCGGGGCTGGGCGGGTGCTGGACCTAGCTAGCGTCCTCCGGTACCCCGGAAGGGCGGAGCTGGGCTGACAGGGAGTTTGATTCAGTCCAGTCCCTTCCCCTCTCTGTGTCTGCAGCCAGCTTCGCAGACTGCTGGAGATGCTCGGAAGGAGCATCGCGTTCTCCAAGGAGGAGGTTCCTGCCGGAGAGCTGCTGGGCTCCAGGTTCCTCCTCCTCCTCCCAAAGTTTTCCCCTGAGCTTGCTGAATGTACAGGAAGTAGGGGGCTCAGATCCAAAACCCTTTCCCCAGCCTACAGGGCCTGGGTCTGGTATTTAAATCCTAAATCCCAAATATGTGTGTCATTCTCAAACAGTGTTATCAACTGATTATTTCAGTTGTGTGTATTTCGGACACCTTTTGTCATTTTTTTCCCCCTTCCAGGTAATAAATGGCGCTCCATTGCTGTTGTAAGAAGTTTTTATAGTAGCATATATTAATCATACATAGTAATGGGTGTCATTGGGACATCTTCATACATGTTTGTGTGTTTTAAACGTGTCCTCCATTACCTCTCGCTCGTCCCCTTCTTCCCTGGTGATTGTATTTAAGTCCTATCTTGGTGAACCAGTGAGCTTCGGTAGGGTTATTTACTGACAGGTTATCTACCGGAGCCTGGACAGACATCTCACTAGTGGCAACACTAGTAGAGAGAGTATCCCTCCACCCCTTATCAACTGTCACCTACCACAAATCCTCGGGGAGGGATGAGGGCTCATGAGCCCTCCCCCACAGAGTATTGACAGGTCCAATCTTGTGCATTGAACCACATCTACTGACATTTCGGGTGCCAGGGCCAAGTCAGAAAAGTCAAAGACAGACTCTGCTCCCACTGCTAGGAGTCCCGCAAGAACTACACAAGCTACACAACCATAACATATGGCGGAGGACGTAGGTCAGCCCAGATAGCTCCCTGGCTGACTGTCCCTTCGGTCTCTGCGCACCTCTGTGAACCCCGATCACTTGATTCTGAGGGCTGTGGAACGTGTGTTCCTAAAGCTGGCCTGTCACCTGCTGGCTGTGTATTGTCACCGATTCAAGTTACTAGAATCTGTACTGCCGGGTGGCCACTGGCTAGATGCACTGAAAACTTGTTGCTGGAGTCAGCAGCAGTCGCTGCGTTTTAGAGTTGTAGCCCGTGGAAAATTTGTCCGTCAGTTTCACCCGGGTGTATCTGTGCTTACTTCCTCTTCATGCCAGAGCCGGAAGGCTCATGATACAGCCCGATGGAAGCTCTTAACTTGGATCCTTCATAGCATAGACAAACTGCTTCCACAAAGAGCTGGTAGACCTGGATGGAGTCAGTGTGACCAACCTGAAGAGAGGGCCTGGGGAGCCAGGAGATCACACTCAGGCTTCTGGGAGCCTGTTATTGGGTTAAGACACACGGGCCTCGGTGCATTCTGAACTTGCATCTCAGAGGGTTACTGAAGACCTTAAAAGAAGATCTTGGGCTAGTTCCTGGGGCGTGATAAATAACATTATAGCTTATGAGGTGAAACCCTTAGGCAAGAGAAGTTCTTGAATAGTTAAGTGGTTTTGTTTGTTTGTTTTGTTTTTAATGTGAATAAAAGTTAATAGTCTTGTGAAATTCTCAGAAAATACATGGGAAAATCTAAGGCCCTTTGTGGAGGTTGGCTATATTTAGCTCTTAAGCATTGTTCATTGCTGTTTTATTTTAGTTTGGTATTAGTGAACCCAGTAGTGGAGCTGCTGGAGAAGCAGGGGAGCCCTGCGATGGCGACATGGCTCGCTTTTGCTAAGGAACGGGATCATGCACAGGAGAGAAAGAGGATTTGCGTGGACCTTGTCACGGAGTGTGGCCATAGAGAACGGAAACCCAGGGAACTGTCTGGGGTTCTCTGGTGATCCCTTGACACATACTGAGTGGTCCAGTGGCATTTCCATCACAGTGGTGGGTGTCCTTTTAGTGGGGTCCAGGTGCAGACGCACTATGCTGGTTTGTCTGGGCTTCTAGGTTAGTTCTCAGGCCTGGTTTTCCTGATATACTGTTATGAGTAAGGTTTTTCCTGCCGGTCTTGTCCACCGCCGCGCCAGCCCCAAATAACACACAGAGACGCTGTATTAGATATAAATGCTGTTGGCCAGTTACTTGTTTCTTATTGGCTACCTCTGTCTTAAATATTAACCCATTTCTATTAATCTAAGTACTTCCACGTGGTCTCATCTTAACTGGAGAGTGGGGCTGGCTTTCTTCTCTCTCCGTCCTCCATCTTGGATCTCCTCCCTACTCCTTCCAGAATCCTCCTTGTCTCCTAGTCCCGCCTATCTTGCTTTCCTATTGTTCAACAGTGCTTTATTCATTAACCAATAAGAGAAACATATTTACAGAATGACATCTCCCATCATCATACTATTAATATGTCCATAGGGCAGTGTAATTTATAATCCTCCTTGTTAAATTTATAGTTGATAACCCGGGCTCTGATCTCACGGAGTCTGATCTGACAACCAGGGAGCCTGCATGGGACCGACCTAGACCATCTACATATGTGTGACAGTTGCATAGCTTGGCCTGCTTGCAGGACTCCTAACAGTGGGATCAGGGGCTGTCCCTAATGCTTTGGCTAGCTTTGGGGAACCAGTTCCTCATGCTGGGTCTCGGTTAAAACCCTTCTTTTTATTTAGACAGAAAAGAGGAGATGATGGGAGATGCCATTATGTATATATGTTTCTCATACTGGTTAATGAATAAAGCACTGTTGGCCAGTAGGAAAGGAAGATGGGAGGGGCTAGGAGAGAATGAGGAAAGAGGAAGTAGGAAGGAGGGATCAAGATGGAGAGTCTGGAGAAAGCAGAACCGCCAGCTGCCTCTCGCTGGTAAGACCATGTGGAAATACATAGAAATGGGTTAATAATTAAGACAGAGCTAGCCGATAAGAAACAAGTAATGGCCAACAGCAGCAATATCAAATACAGAGTCTCGGTGTGTTAACTGGGGCTGGTGCGGCGGCGGGACAAGATCGGTGGCGGGAGGAAAAACCTTACTCCTTATAAACCTTAACACAAGGGGAGGAGCTTAGTCGTACTGAAACTTGATGTGCTATGTTTTATCGATATCCATGAGAGGCCTGACCTTTTCCGAAAAGAGAGGAGGAGTGGTTTCGGGATGTGGGCAGAGGGGGAGGGTAAGGGGACTGGTTGGGGAACAAAATAAATAATTAACAAAAATAAATGTATAGTTGACAGCCTTTTTACTTATATGAACAGTTACCAATCTTGGCTTCATGGTTGGTATACGGGTGAGCTGCAGAGTCATTTTTCTTTTCCGTTTTCACTCAAAATGGAGCCACTCGGGGCAAGACACAGCTTGGAAGCCTTTATTTTACACATTATATGGTGACTTGGAGCAGTTTGATGCCCATGCCTTGCCTCTAGACTGCAAGAACCTCCCCTGCCTAAAGCAGCAGATCTTTTCCGAAGGGAGGGGATTCTGTTGTCATGAACCAACTCACCGTTATGTACATTGCCGTCACATGGACTGCTCCGTTTTCTTTCTTTTGTAACTCAGAGCTAGCAGCCCAGAAGTGGTAACAGTGGGCTGAGCCTTCCTACATCAGTCACCAATCAAGAAAATGCCTCCACAGGCATGCCCACAGGCCACTTGTATGAAAGCATTCTCGGTGCAAGTTTAGTCTTCCCAGATGACTGTAGCTTGTGTCAGCCAGCACATACATGTTCCACACATGTCCCTTACCTTGTGAATAATGGTGCTGGTGTTTCCCTGTGCTGCTCCATCCCTCCTAAAACTTTTCTGGCGCCTCCTGTTCATTTGTTTGCATGGCAACTGGTTTTTTTGTTTGTTTATTTTTGTCTTTTGTTAAAAAGCATTACTTCCACATGCTAATTGCCTTCTTTTGTACCCACTATGTATCTTTTCTCTAGGGTTATGTTTTATATTTCTTTTTTACGATTTCATGGACTTTCCTGGATTCCCATGTAGTTCAGTTAGCCATTCTCTCGCTCCTGTCTTACAAGACAGGGAAGTGCACTCATTTAGCAGCTGTTATCATCACCCTGGGATCCAGGGCCCCATTTCAGAGTCATCCTGGGTCCCCAGCATTGTGGGGATGTTGTTCTCCCCAGATAAGGGGATCTGAGTCCATTACTGGTGAAGCTTGACCCTAGGACCCCTCCGTAATGTGTTGTGGGGCTGGAATAATAGCTGGGATGCTTGACGTGGTAGTTTAAGGGATGATGCCCCTCGCAGGCTCACGTGTTTACGTGCTTAGTCCCAGTTGGTCAGCTGTTTGGGAGATTTAGGAGGTGCATTGCTCAGGGTGGGCTTTAACGTCTCAGAAGCCCATGCCTGCCTCAGGATGTAGCCCTCAGCTGCTTCTCCATCCGCCCGCCCGCCCGCCTGCCATCATGCTCCCTACCTTGTTGATAATGAGCTAGCCCTCTGAAACAGCCAGCAATCCCCCAAATAAATGCTGTCTTTTATGAGTTGCTTTGGTCATGGTGTCTCTTCCAGTCCTGGACCTCAGACTTCTGCTTCCTAAGTATGTCCAGAGCTTTAAATGACAGAATATTCAGAATTGCAATAAACCATTCAAAATACTCAGTGTTCATAGCATTAAACAACCTTTTGAAGCATTTAAAATTCATACCCCAAAATGGATATTATGTTATTCTACCCTTTTTGGAGAATATAATATTCTTTGTTTATGTGTTACTAGATAAATAATTCAATAAACAATCCATCGTATGTGGAAAAGTGTAGGATTTGCAAATTCAACTCCCATACAGTTTAGTGTAAAATCGCCAAGGACAGAGAACAGGAAAGCAGAGTAGCTGTCACAGATCTTCCCGGAGGAGCCCAGGGCCCATGTGTACTAGGCAAGCGCTCTGTCACTGGGTGGTAGATACAGCCACAGTCTACTGTTTTGGATTTATAGCTACCATTTTTATGTGTAGAAATAAAATACAAATACTATTTGATCAGTTTTGCTTTGCTGCCTTTTTAACACATTTCCATTCCCAATCTCATGGGAAAACTTCTTGAAGGTTATTTTAGTTATTTTAACTTTATGTTTCCGTCTGATTTCTGGACCAGGTACATTTGGTCAGGACCTAGGCTTGGCCAATAGCTGTGTGCTTGACAGAATGATGTAGAAAAAAAAAGAAACGTAAAATCATTCTGATCGAAGGTAATCGTTTTAAAAAAATCAAAAAGTTATCCTTACTATACTTCCTAGTATCATACAGTGCATGATTACTTTAAATGTCAAACTTACCAGTGAATTCTTCCGCTGGCTACTAGCGAACAGCCCTTGGACAGTGACGTCGGCATTACTACTGAGCTGTGCTCGGGTAGCCCGACTCCGGTCCAGAACTCCTCCTGAATCAGAAAGAATGTCGTTGTAACTCACCGTGATTGTCATCTAAGAAATATTCTCAGTGTTGCTGCATGAGTTTGCATAGTGCATATCTTGATAGTGGTGCTTTTCTCTGACACGTTGGGTGCGTTAAGGGGGGGAATGTTTGCACTGGCTCAGCGGGTGCTATGCCATGCATAAACTAGGCCAGGTCAGGTCAGATGCCGGAGGATATTGGTGTGGTAGATAAAGCACCTTACTGAACAGTTTTAGCTGCCTGCGTCACCACAAATTCTCTAACTCTCATTTCCGCTAGGGTGACACCAAAACCCTGGTCAGCGTGGTATTCATTCCTGTTCGCTTTTTATTTCAGGACCAGCTGACTTTCAGCGATGTGGCCATTGATTTCTCTCCGGACGAGTGGGAATGCCTAGATGCTCCTCAGCAGAGTCTGTATAGGGACGTGATGTTGGAGAACTACAGAAACCTGGTGTCTGTGGGTGAGGACAGCATTCCCACAGAGCTCCTGACACACGCCTTTGCCTATGAAACACAAACATGAGACTCAGCGTCCACGTGGAGTTTATTGAGAGGAGGGAGAGAAGGGGGGGGTAGCTGGTGGTCAGCCGAAAGCAGGAGGGGGTGTGGGGGGGGCTTGCCTTAAAAGGGGGACTGCGCATGCGTAACTGAGTCCCCTGCGCAGCCAGGTAAAGTGTGAGCAGCCAGGTAAAGCCTGACGTATCGACGACGTGGCCATGAGCCCATGGCCCATCGTCAGGGGTGGGGTCAGCCGACTGCTGTTTTCCAACAGTGAGTCTTCTGATTTTTTGGATTTGCCTAGGCACTTCTGCTAAAAATAGTTTTCAGGTTTTGATAGAGATTAAACAGATTCTCTAGATTATATTAGATATGACAGTCATATTACTTTGAACTTCTCGTTCTGTAATAATAATAACATAGTCGAGACTATGTCCTATATGGGACACACGGTATTAAGTTTTCTTATTTCTCTTCCATTGTGAATGTCTATTATTTCATTGTAGTTAGAAATGAACTTCAGTACTCTCCTGTGTGTTAGGACTGTGTCATACCCTACCAGGTAATCCGGCTTAGTATTTGTTTGTGTCCGTAGGCCTAATTTTCACAGTATTTTTCAGGATTTGTTCCCTAATTAGTCCTCATTGCAGCTTTATTTTACAGTATGAGAAGTAGGGATATGAGCTCAGGATTATTACGGAGCTTTCAGCATCTTCAATTCACAGTGTTTAAACCCTGTATGTGGGAAATGGGGAGTGTATTGAATGTGTATCTATTACAAGTGCACGCTCCTGGGAAAGTGGCCGTTGTGTTTTTCTTCCTTAAGGATTCTGTGGTTTCGATAAGACAACATGACCAAAAGCAGAGTTCCGCATCTCAGCCCATCACGGAGGGCAGGAAGGGCAGGAACGGGGCAGGGAGTTGGAGGCAGGAAAGGCCTGTGAGTGGTCCAGCTTTTACTGGGCTGCTCCCCACAGCCTGCTCAGTCTACTTTCATACATTTCCTAGACCACCTGCCAGGGATGACAGCAACCACAATGGGCTGCGTTCTTCTATGCCAATCATCCCACCCCACCCCAGGCTTGTCCACAAGCCAATGTCATAGGGCCATGCTTTCAATTGAGGTTCCCTCCTCTTGGAAGGCCAGCGTCTGTCTAGTTGATTAAAACAAAACAAAACTTGCCAGCATGGTTATTTTATTTCATCACAGTTTATGACTGTGATCTCATATCACATAACTGTTTTTGACTGAAAGTATATTTTTTTGATAGCATAACTATGGCCACACCAGCTGCCTTTGTCCCCTCACTTCGTGATTTTTAGCATACCTGACTCCTTACATCTAAGAGAGTCTCAGTAATACAGCATAATTCTCTCCATTTTCTTGTATGCACTAATGACAATATAATTTCCAGTCCACACAAATTTCCTTTGTAATTACATTGCCCTTTCCTGTGGTATTACTGATAATAGCTGTTTTATTTAGAGTGTGTCTGTGTGCTTTAACAGAGATTCATGAAGAAGCTTTTGCTTTTGTGTTTTAAGCTCTATTCAGAAATCAAAAGTGTGTTGTACATCCTCGTAAGTCCCTGGAGCCCTGTTGCTCTGTGTTTGACTTCCCACAGAGCTTTTGAGATCTTATTACTTGTGTTACCTTGTAACAGTAGGGCAGTCCAGTGGTGATGGCCACTTAGCGTGATTAGAGTTTTCCTTTCGCTGTGAAGAATGGGTTGTCCGGGTGTTATACGTCTTAGATTTTTGTCCCTTCAGCCTGTTCACTGTGTTCTGCGTCTCGTGTCTCATTACAGTACTTCCTTTAAAAGCTCCCCTGAGGCCACACAGGGTGTCCTAGAGAGGACACATTACCTCTGCTGCTCTCAAGATCACCTTTGTGACTTGTGAAACACAGACTCCAGTGCATGGGTCGTTTCCATTCTCTCTCTGTGTGTGTCTCTCTCTCCTCTCTCTCTCTTTCTCTTTCTCTCTCTCAGCCTGAAGCAGCTAATTAAGCCGCTTGGGTTCTGATGTGTTTCTTGATCATACTTTTTTTTAGTTTTTCCACCATTACTTCTTACTGAATTCATCGCGCCTATATTATTCGCTTACCGTGTCTATTTCTTTGTCTGTTTCCTCCTTCTCCTGACGGTAACGTTTTCTGCATTTCACTAATCCTTCAGACAGTTGTCTGGTGTATGTGATTCATAAATCAGCTTTTGAATGGTGAGTTAGCAGTGTTGTCCATGGTCTTCCCACAGAGCTACTCCAACATAAACATGAACTTAAAAATAGCATGCTGTGCATGGTGACTGGGTTACATGTGTTTTTCGGTGAAATGGGTAAACACCAGTAATATGTTTTATATTCAGAAAGTTGCTTTTTTTCCCTCCGCAGGATATCTTCATAGTGCCTTTGATTGAGGACTCTGAAACCTGTTCTTAGGACATCTTTTATATGAGTTATGTCTTCATACAGACTTCATTAGCTATCCCAGGCTCTCCACCCCAGTGACAATTTGGAGTACCAAAACAGTATTTGCCTTTGGTCTCAGTTGTATAAAACTGTCATGTAAAATATACCTGATATCAGCCGGGTGGTGGTGTCACCAGCCTTTAATCCCAACACTCAGGAGGCAGAGGCGGGCGGATCTCTGTGAGTTTAAGGCCAGCCTGGTCTACAAAACTACACAGAGAAACCCTGACTTGAAAAATCAAAAAATAATTAAATAAAAATGTGTCTGATATCTCCTACAGTCTGTCATTTTAAGTAGCCAGGTTTCAGGCATTCCCTACCCAAAAGTAGATGGATGGATGGATGGATGATAGATAGATAGATAGATAGATAGATAGATAGATAGATAGATAGATAGATACTGCTGATGGAGATGGAGGATTTAATTTCCTGATTGCCTACAATGTTTAAGAGGAAAAAGAGGGTCTGTGGTTGACAAAAGCAACAACTTTGTTTCCTGCTACAATCAAACTGTCCTTGGCTTTGTGGGTGTGCTGTGATTTTCTAACTGGATATGGAAAGGTGCACAAGTTCAATTTGGTAGTTTTTTGTTTTGTTTTGTTCTAAAGTTAAAATGCAAGAGAGTAATGATCCCTTTGGTCCTGGGGTTTCCCACTGATGTTCCAACCTGGTATACCTTTACATATTTTTATAAACTGTAATTATCAGGGTCTGTTAAATTAATTTGTTTGTTTCCATTCATTTCAGCTCTTTCTCATCATTGTACCCAGAACTTTCCACCAGAACAGATCCTAAAATACTCCTTTAAAAATGTGACTAACGGAAGATGCGGAAGTTACGGCCTTAAAAGTTTAAGAAATTGGGCAAATACAGATGAGGATCGAGGCCAAACAGCCTGCCGTGGTGGACGTAACCAGTGTGTGCTCTCTAGCAATAGCAGAGGTGTCATCGACAACAGAGACCAAGAGCAGAAAACAGCTACGAAAAGAACTCACGTTAGGACAGGTGCTCTTGGAGAGCCACTTATCTATAAACAAAAAATTCCACAGGAGACTTCTCAGCGTAACTTAACTTTGAAAAGTTTGGAAGACCTGAGAGGGGCATTAATCTTGCACTCAAACATTTCCATGGACAAAGAATTGAGAAACAGAGAACCGCTCTCTAGAACTGGTTGGGTAGACACTTCCAGTCCTGAAAGATCCTTACTCTTCAGTCAGCAAGTAGATCTTCCCTATGGCCAAGTGCACAGTTCTAACGATTGTGGACTGCTGGCTACGGTTCCATTATTACATAACCAAAATCCAGATACAGATACTTGGAAAACTACAAACGTGTGTGAAGAAACCAGCGAAACTTTCAGTAATGGCACTACACTAAACAATTGCAAGGATATGATTGTTTTAGAGAAATCTGGTCAGTGTAACAAAGTGCGTCGTAACTTGGACCGTGGCTCCAGTCCCAGCAAACATCAGTGTACTCTGTTTCCAGAGAACCTTTTCAGCTGTGAAAATTTCTTCTCCCAGGACTCAAAGTTTACTGTCCGTCAATGTAACTATATTCAAGATAAACATTACAAGCATATAGATTGTGACTCAATGTTTAATCATCCCTCAAACCTTACTACACATAAAATTCAGTATGCCCAGAAATCCTACAAATGTAATGAATGTGGCAAAGCCTTTAAGTATTGCTCAAGTTACACTAAACACAGCATAGTTCACACGGGAGAAAAACCCTACAAATGTAAATTATGTGGGAAATCCTTTACCCAGTGTACAAGCCTTAAAAAACATCAGAGAATCCACACAGGAGAAAAACCCTACAAATGTGAAGAGTGTGGCAGAAGCTTCAACCACTGCTCAATTCTTAGTCAGCACCAGAGGATTCACACAGGAGAGAAACCCTACAAATGCAAACAGTGTGGGAAATCCTTTACCCAGTGTGCAAGCCTTAGAAAACACCAGGTAATCCACACTGGAGAGAAGCCCTACAGGTGTGCAGAATGTGGCAAAGCCTTTACTCAAAGCTCAACGCTTAGTGAACACCAGAGGATCCACACCGGAGAGAAACCTTACAGATGTGAACAGTGTGGAAAGTCCTTTACCCAGTGTTCAAGCCTCAGAAAACACCAGAGAATCCACACTGGAGAGAAACCCTACAAATGTGAGGAATGTGGCAAAGCCTTTAACTGCCGGTCATCTTTTACTAAACACCAGAGAATTCACACAGGAGAGAAACCTTACAAGTGTAAAGAGTGTGGCAAGGCTTTCATCCATTGCACAAACCTTACCCAACACCAGAGAATCCATACAGGAGAGAAACCCTACAAATGTGACGAGTGTGGGAAATGCTTTAGCCAGTGTTCAAACCTCAGAAAACACCAGAGAATCCATACGTAAATAAAGCCTACAAATGTGAACAATGTAGTAAATCTGTGTCCCATGGTCAAAAGCGTGTTTATTGTCATGATTCAAATCGGGAGTGAGTACTGCAGAAGCAGTGAACGTAGCAAAGTCAGAGATTAATTCTTCCCTCAGAGAAACCCTTAAATGTGTATAATCCTGTTCTAGGTGCTACCTTCACTTTAGAAAGAAACACAAATGTTTGTTTGAGAAAGGGTTTCTTTGTGTAGCATTCAAGCCTGTCCTAGAACTTGTTCTGTAGACCAGGCTGGCCTCGAACTCACTGAGATCCACCTGCCTCTGTCTCCCAAGTGCTGGGATTAAAGGCGTGTACCAACAACGCCCAGCTACAAATTTTATATATATATATATATATATTTTAACGTGGGAAAAATCTAAATTGTTGCTCATCCCTTACTGAACATTGAATTCAAACCTAAGACAAAAACTAGCAAATATTCAAAACCTGGCAAAGCATTTCTAGCTTTGCTTTTCTTTTTTTTTTTATATATATATATATATATATAACCAAGTCCATTTAAATGAAAACAAACTTTTATAGACAATATTTGGGAATTTGGGCATTGTTCTTTCCAAACTACTTCCTGCTGGTAAGGGGCGCTGTCATGGGGGATTCGAAGCGTTTCTAGCTTTTCAATTCTGGCTACACACAAAAACTCACACCCGAGACAAACCCTGCAAGTATAGAAAAAAGTGCCAAACACTGGCTCCATTTTGCACACCTTAAGACCAGAGTTCATACTAGAATGAAAAACTACAAACATCCCAAGTGTGTCTAAGCCTTTAAATCAAGGTGCAAAGCTTGTTAACATCAGAGAACACAGTAAAGGGTTCACCTTTGTCCCAAATGCACAGCTCAAAAAAGGAGTGAGATACTTAATTTCTGTGCATGTGTAAAAAGTGTAACAGAACCTTTCTTTATATATGGGCTCTCGTTTTAATTGATTCCAGAGATCCACAAATGTAAATAATGTTGTAAAACCCTTTGATGTTGCTTCAAAGTTACTAGACAGTATTAATTGATCTGGTTAAAAAAAAAAAAAAAAAAAAAAAAAAAAAAAAAACCCTCATGGTTCTCAACAGTACCAACAACTCTCACTTCTCAAACGGTGCGATTGTTTTACGTATTAAAAGTCTCTAAACGTGCTCGCTTGTGAAACCTGGGAAGAACGCCATTTTCCCACACATGTCAGAAGAGCAGGACTCCTCTCTGAGCATTCATACTGAGAGATTCTCCAAAGACCATGGACACGGTCTCCTTATTCGGGGTAAAGTTCTAGATGACGGCTATTACTAATATGCAATGGAATAGCCTCCATTGTTCATTTCCCCCATGATCGCCAGGTGATCTTTTCCTAAATGGCCAAAATGTGGCAGGCCAGAGGTTTCAGAGTGTTGTGGACTGAACCCGCAGTCAGCCTAGGACAGGAGGAAGGAAAGCACTCTTGAGGTTCTCATGCAGTCCCAGCCTCCGACGGTGAGCAGCTCCAATCCAGGCATCCCCTCGCTGAACACACAATCCTTGTTAGACACAGTAATGTCCACAAGCCAAGGATGAGATCAGCCTCGAGGTCTTGGTGTTTCTGAGCACCAACATGGCAGCTCAATATTAAAAGTTGCTGCTGCTATCATCTGAACCTTCCTGGTGGAATACAAAGGTTCTCAGTCCACTGCAGAAATGCAGACACATGGCTGTTCTGGGTTAGGGCCACCTCAAGAGTCACTGAAGTGCTGTGGTGCCAGCATGCTGGCTTAACTGGGAAACTAGGAAGCACCAGGCACTCCACAGTGTCCATGAAGAAAGGGTGCCAGGGAAGTCACCTGAGGCCTGACTACCAGCGTGGGTAGTTTGGGATAGGTGGGCGAGAGGTGGGGGTTGTCTGGAAGTGTAAATGGCCACCTTCTTGAAACTTCAACTGACCTATTCTCACAGCAACACAGCAGGCATCAGAGCCCTTAGTATTTTCGTCTAGAAAGGCACTGGAGTCCAGGGTACACGGAGGGGAGCCCTTAGTATTTTCGTCTAGAAAGGACTCGCCTAGCTGAACCCTGACGAATGACATGGAGCATCTGGCTAAGTGGAGAGGTTGGGTGTGGTGTTAAATATGCCTCTAGGTTGGGGTAAGGCTTCCAGGGTCCTGGCCTGAGCCTCACGGTTTGGGGCATCCCAAGAGGTGCCCAGTCTATTTGGGGACCCTACGTGTGAGTGTTGCCTGCATGTGTGTATACATGTATGTCCATCACTTGCGTGCCTGGTACCCACAGAAGTTGAAGGGAGTGTTGCATCCCTTGGAACTGGAGTTACAGATGGTTTTGCACCACCATGTGGGTGCTGGGAATCAAACCCTGAACCTCTGAAAAAGCAACAACTGCTCTTAAACACTGCACTATCTCCCCAGATCCTAATTTTTAATTTTAATAAAATATTGCCTGGGTATTTGTACCTGATGGCATTATTGGGGGCCACGGTTTACATCGTAGAGATTTTATTGTTCCCATCTTGATATTCAATACATTAAATCTTTAAAACAAAAACAAGAAATAGTTAAATGTGAAATAATCATTAACCACTTGGACTATTTCTTAACTCGGTAGAGCCCGGTGTTTTTATGAGTCCAACTGTTGATTTGAGGCAGATATTTCAGCCTACAAATCTACCTGTTCAATAATCAGAAAGGAAGAAAGTAGAATGGAACAAAAACAAGCTGTTTTTCACGTGGGTAGAATTTGTATGAATTCTGTGCGTATTTTGGACTAATGTGAATCATTGGACATATTAATGAAGGTCAAAATTGGTAGCTCCACACACGCATACAGTGTATAATATCCAGCCAACCCAAAATATATGAAAGAGACATACTCAGGATGAAGTATCCCACACCTCCATACTCGGGATCTCCAACATTAGAATAGAGTTGTGCCCCTGCACCCATAGTGCGCTATCACTGGGAAAAGATGGGTTCAGTTGAGGAAGTGGGGTCTGACTCATGGCTGTGGGGACTGCAAATGAGGGGTGTTAGAAGTTGGCCTCTCTACGGACCAAGCAGATTTATAGTAAGTCGTGATTTTCCTGGAAGCTAAAGAAAGGCAAACTTTAATTTTTGGCATAGTCCAAGAAGTCAATTTGAACCTGATAGGTTGTCGACTAAGAACATTCCTAGACTTGGGCTCTAGTATTCCAAGTGGAAGCCAATGATAACAGTCTGAATGATCTCTCTATATTAAATTTGAATCGCACATGCCAGTGAACTCAAAGACGGGCGAAAGGTTTTTACGGGTAAGCTGCCAGGGTGTCTTGTTTTTAGGTGTCATGTTTGCGCTGGTTGTTAGCTTTGTTTCCTAGGATTCAACCGTTTGTTTTTCAAGATACCAAGTCCGAGTAGTTAGAGAAAGTTGAAAGTATTGCTTGGAAAGTGGCAGCAAAGTTGACACAGAAGTATCCACATAGAAGGTTAGTAACGAAACGGCTAAAAATAACAAGGAAATCAGAGTAAGACCAAATTGTTGGAACAGTAAGTTTTAGGCTTAATTTCTGTATCCGTTACTTTTTCTGTTGTTGAGCTAAAACACCATAACTACACAACTCTTTGGGTGCAATAGGTTCAGAGGGTTGGAGTCCATGATGGCAGGGAAAGCATAGTATCAGGTGACAGGCAGGGGAAGCTGAGAGCCCACATCTCACCCTAACTGTAAGCACAAAGCCGAGAGAGAGTTCTAAGTAGTGAGTGGATTTTAACTCTGAAAGCCAGCCGTAAGTGACAGGTTTCCACACACACCCTGTACCTCCTAAACCTCCCTCAAAACAGTGCCACCATCTGCGAACCAATCATTCAAATATGGGAGCCTTTGGGAAGTATTTTTATTTAGACATTTACATTCTGCTCTGCCACTCCCATGGGATGGCTGCTCACCATATCATAATGTGAGATGCATTTAGCCCAGCTTCAAAAGTCCCCATAGTCTCTCACAGACAGACTTTATCAAAAAAAAAAAAAACAAAAACAAAAACAAAAAAACAAAAACCCACAACTTACATACATCTAATAGATAATACAGAATAGACATTACCATTCCAAGAGGGAAGAATTGAGGCATAGTGAGGAAATAACAGCCCCATTTTCTTTACTACATTGTAGACCATTCACAATAGCCATACCACAGATTCAATGGGATGCTAACTTGAGATCACATCCAAGAAATCAGTCCATAACTTTAATTTATCCTCAGGCGAGGTTCTTGGGAGAAAGAGAGTAACCAGATTCTTTGCCAAAACAATCATACAAATGGCCTGTAGCCCAGTGTTTAAGATCCTTTCTTCCCTCTGAAACCTCTTGACAAGCCTCTAAATTCTGCATTGCTCTCAGAACTACTGTCTTCTAGGCTCCCACTAAAATGTCTATTTTAAACTTTGCTTACAATATTCAACTGCTTCTCAAGTCCAAAGGTCCAAAGTCTTCCACATTCCTTCAAAACCCCCACATGGCCAGGTTCTTCACAGCTGCAGCCCACTCTCTGGTAACAGCTCTATACTGGTTACCTCTATTGTGATGAAATGCCAAGATCATGTCAACATGTAGAAGAGTTGGAGGTTGACGGATTTCGATTTTGTTTTGTTTGGCTTACTGCTCCGGGGGTTTGGACCCCATAATTGTGGGGATGGTATGTAGTGGGAGCGAGAAAATAAAAACTCACGTCCTGGATTACAAGCACAAAACAGAGGCAGCAAGTTGGATGTGATAGATTTTGGATATGAGGGCCTGTCCCTGGTTAAATGCTTCCTCTAGCAAGGCTATACCCGTGAAACCTCCCTAAACAGCACCAACTAGGAAACAAGTGTTCAAATATGGAAGCCTATGGAGGAACATTGTCATTTAAACTCCTGCAGCTTGGTTATTTATTTAGCTACAGCAAGAATAACAATTGACCCTATAGGAAGTCAAGGCAATAACATATCATCAACTTCATCTGCAGTTCAGGGGCTGGGTTACCCGCTTTCTGAGTTCCCTCA